GCCGTCAGTGGCGTGCATGCACGCTCGTAGGTGCGGCAGGGGAAACAAATACCATTAGCACACGCCCAAGTGTTTTATGCGCTCACCACTGCTGGGTCAAACTTTATGAGCTCTGTGGTAGCACACAGTCCAAAGCCATGGCGGTTCATTGCATTGTCTATCTTGCCTAAAAGGGCTAATCGGTGGGCAACTTGAGTACAATTACATCCTTGCACATAAGTTCGTGTAGAATGGGAGCTCATTCCAAATGCTATTTGAATTCAGATGGAGAGAATATGTGTTGTAATTTAAGAATACACAAAGAATTGTTAAGGCGACAGAAAATTAGTCGTAGGGGAAAATCTTTTACTGTTTATCAAGTCGACATTTAAAATGCACAACAAGAGCAGAGATACACTTCAAGATGACGTGATTGTACTGGTTTACCACGCTAATTGCATTTCACGTCATCAAATCCACTGGATGTTTTGCAGGATTACTCATAACTTAAATCGTTTAATAGTAAAAGGCAATTAATAAACCAGCTTAAAAGGTAGAAGACATTATGAATAAAAGCATAAGAATGTTGGGACGAATTAACCCCTCCGATTATCTTATCGACCTTTACCATGAAACCGATACGATTCCTTCTCTTCCTCAAAAAATTGGCACCAAATGAAAAGCAAGATGTCATATTTGTGCATTACCAAATGAACCATAGCGCTCTTCATTGTCCCACACGTTAATCCTACCAAATTGTACAAACTGTGATTTATAACCGAATGCAAAGCTTTGTGATCGAAATGGTGCGATTTGTCAAAACAATCAATTTTGAGGAGTAAACTACTTATTAGCAAATATGTGGAACACACAAAGGAGTAGAAGATCGCAGTACTAAGGAGCTTCATGACAGATGTTCAGAGAAGAAGAACCAGGACAGTAAAGAAACTGAATAGGTAGCATAATGGCTGCAGTCGGTATTGTATCCCATCGAGCTTAATGGACCGCATTGTGCACGATTTTTCATTCGACTGTCCCAATGGTAATAAACCCACTTCATTTACGTTATTCACAGTAAGAATCGATTTCGCACTGGTTCAGTGATTTTATGTTCCCGTCTGTGCGTTTTGAACAAAATGAGATTCGCTGTTGAGGTCAGATTTTATGGCCCCCCCGTGTGGATGTGTGCATCTACTGTTAGTCCATGTACACGCGCATCCAGACCTCTATAATCTTCCGCCCTCTGCGTTCTACCCCAATCCACACCACACCGAGTCATATTCGCTTACGCGTTCCACATCTATTGTTCCCCCTTGTGGCTCTTGAA